TCGCGGCCGCCTCTTCCCCGCGCTCGCTCACGCCGCTCTCCGCCCGCAGAGGCCGCCCCGCCGAGGGCAGCATGTTCCGGTTACTGCGGGATGGCGAGCCCGAGGACCCGCTCTTCGCCATGTGAGTGGAGTCGCGCGGGGGCGCGGGCGGCCCCGCTGCGGGGGGCGAGGGGCAGCCCCGGGTCCCCTCCGGGATGCGGGGCCTCTTTGGAGGCTCCCGAGAGTAGCAGCTTGGGAGCCGCTTGCGGGGAGCGCAAACGGTCCGCGAAGGGGCTGGGAAAGGGCTGGTTGGTGCCGACCCGATTCCCACAACACTAGAGTCTGCCTCTCCGTAGGAGAGCAAAAGGGACCAAAGTAGGGCAGAATGCGCTGTGGGTTTATTGGAGGAAGAGTGTGCTAGAATGCCTAACCTTATTCCTTGTCAAAAGGACTTTCTTTGGGGGAAAGGGAAGACTGCAGTGGTACAAAACCTACTTTGCTGTTCCGTGTTTGTTACTGTCCCACCCCGGGTATTTGTGAAGCTGGAGATGATTGCTGAAGCAGCTGGGAAGTTGCAGGGAGCTAAGAGAAGGCAGGATAGGAGTAGTGAAATCTAGCAAATGTCCAAGAACGATTCCAGAGCTCATGTAAGTGAATGTTTTTGTTTCTGTACACAACGCAGAAATTGAATGCTATTGGTTAAATTTGGCAGTGAAACTAACTTGATGGTTCTTGTCAAAGCAGGTAGGGGTTAGAATGTAACAGGGCAAGAATTTGGTTGTCTTAAGCATGGGAGAGCTAGAAATTTGATTAATTATTGTAGAAGCACAAAGTCAGGTTTTTGCTTATAAAATCGTTCATAAACCAAGAGTTTTATCAGTTGTAGCCAAATTAGCACAAAAGCTTTGATGTCCCACTTAGTCACAGGATGACTGTATGTTCTTATTGATGCAGCAGGGATGAGTCTAGCTTTTATTATGCAAAATATTTCCAGCAGAGAAGGAAAAGTATTGGCTTGTACTAGGTGCTCTTGTGATCTCAGGAGTACAATATACTTTCCAGGTTAGATGTACTCAAGAAGGATAAATCCAGACTATAACAGGTACAAAGAAATATGATGCCCTTTTTTTTTTTTTTTTAATTGCATCCACCGTCTTCCATGACAGTTTTTCCTTGTTCTCCTTTCTGAAGGTTTCAGCCTTCTGCCTGAGTGTTTGTGCATGCTCAGACACTCTAGTGAGGAAGTAATGGCAGGGGTCGCCTGCTGCCTAGCTCTTTCAGGTGTCATGCTCTCTTTGCAGCTAGAAAGGCCTTCATGCAGCTCCCTGCAAGAAGAAGAGCCCCGCTGTAGAAGCCTTTGACGCATTTAGCAGAGCTGTTAGCTTGGTGATTTTGCTGGCAGAAGAAGCAATGGGGATGGAATGATGGTAACATTTCAGCTGCCAATCCGAGAAGTGGTTTTTATCTGCTAGAGCAATAAGGTTCTGGAATGGCCTTAGCCATGCGTGACCTTAAAGTATATTAGTAGTAACAGAGTATTAGCTGTTTCTGTACAGAGGTGTCTCAGTGCTGGGAAATGATTTTAGGACATGATACCTGAAATAACAGGCAGCAGGATGGGATCTTCCAGTCCCAAGGATTAGCATATACAACACTAGGTTTTTGGGCTTCTGGGCCTGCAACGTGGAGAGGAAAATGCAGTCATGTTTATGTAAGAGCAACAGGAGGTTTATTTGGGGTTTGGTCTTGTGTCATCCCTTCCTCACAATTGTTCTCTTGACCCTCCTGAAGGGATCCCTTTGCCATCCACCGGCAGCACATGAGCCGCATGCTCTCCGGGAGCTTTGGGTTTGGCCCGCTGCTTGGCATCGCTGACGGCACCACACCTGGGGCCCGCCAGGGCGGTCGCAGGATGCAGGTAAAGAGGGGCACCCCGCTGTCCCGTCGCGCTTCCCACACAGCCTCCCTGCTCTGCCTTCCACCCAGGCTGCGACCAGCTTGTCTCTGTTCTTGCATCTTTTCCCTGCACCGTGTCCATTCATGCATTTCTTGGCAACTATGTGCTAGGGAGAGTGGAAGGAAGGGATATATATGATTTCTCAAGGCTCTTAAGTCAGTTTGTTAAGGTGAGTATAGTTTGCACTACCATAATTTTGTGATTTTTTTTTTCTCTCTCTCTTTCTCCCTTTGTAGCATGTCTGTTTCTCTTACCAGTTGTTTTTCCAAAAATGAGGGTGCTTTGTGGAGGTTCTAATAGCTGGTTGTCTTAAGGTAATTCTGTTTTTCTGTTCTCCCAGCAGGCAGGAGCTGTCTCACCCTTTGGAATGCTGGGCATGGTGAGTCCTCAGTTTTTTTTCAGTTCTTTTCCCTTTCTTTCAGCAGGGCAGAAAAGACAGAACTTGGGCGGCTCTTCCAAACCATCAGGTTTCATAAGGTTGCTAGACCTTATTTGAGGCTTCACAACTAGTGGCTCTTTTGAGCAGGTGCTCAGTGCAAATAGTACTAAAATGTATAATCTGGGACCAAATCAGCCTGTCTGAACAGGCAGTGAGGTGGGAAGGTGAGGACACCAGAATGAGCTTCAGCTTTATAATAAATGGAATAGTGAAGCAAGTACTGAAATGAAACCAAAAGCAGATGGTTTCTCTTGGAGCTCTTTCACTGACCTGCTGTATAACTTCAGGCAAATCTCTTGGTTCCTCTCTAATGTTTTAGTCAAATCTATGAGCTCTTCTTGAGGGGAGATTCTGTTTATAAAGGGCTTGTATTTGAGCCTCAAATAGAGAAGAGATCTAAAGCTGTTACACTGTAGTGCTTGATAGGAAAAGGGACAAATAATATCTAGGGAGACCAGATAGGCTCTTAATAACGTGATGCCTCTGGAACACTGAGGAGATTGGTTAGGAGCTCCTCAGGGAACTGCCCCAACTCAAGGAGAAGACTTGGAGCGTTACTAGGCAGAGGTGATAGTTGATCCTCTTTGATCGTTGACCAGCAGTAGAAGATGGAAAAGTCAACAGCACGTTTCAGGTGGACAGGAGCAGAGTGGGAATGTCTGTACATAAGTGCGAGCGTAGCTCTTACGTTGCATGGATTTTGTCATTCTCTAAAATGCAGTGGAAAGGGATTACTCCAGATTTCAGTAACTTAAGTAACAGAAGAGTAACTGGCCTGCTCTGCAGCATTGCCTCAGTGAGAAAGGTTAAGCATCCTGTAATTGTTCTAGCTCTGAGAAGGGATTAATAGACTTCAAAGGATAGTAATACACGTGATTGTTGGTCCTCTGAAAACAAGAACGAGATGCTGCTCAAAATGAAAAATCAGCAAGTTTAAACTGACACAGTAATTTTGTTTACATATTGCACAATTAACCTGTGAGACCTGCTGTCCCAGTATATTAGCAAAGCCTTTAGTTTTGCAAGATTAAAAACAGACAAGTGTTTATAGGGAAAATAAGAGAACTTGTTATTACGTTAGAACAAACACAACCCCCAGAAACACTTTGTGGTTTAAACTGTGGTTGACACTGGCAAGGTTAAAACATCCGGGAGGATGGCTGGTCTGTAGTTAGGACCATTGTTAGTGCCCATTCTGTATTTTCTTCTCTAAACCTTGCTGTGTGCAAGGACTCAGGAAACCCAGTGCATCAGGTTTCAGACTCAAAGAATAAAAATGCCTTTGCTCTATCCAGAGATCTTAAGAGACAGAAAGTGTGGATTATGAAACCTGGGAGAGTGGGGAGATGAGCCACCCCAGATTCTGTCTTCTGCCCTGTTGAAATAAAAAAGGGGAGGGGGCAGGGAAAGCAAGTATTTTTTTTTCTTCTTAGACAGCAGTTTTATGTCCTTTGCGCATGGTTTGTTGTACTTTCCTCCTGAATCCTTTGAAACTGCTCCTGTACTCTATTTTGCTTCTCAGGCAGGTGGCTTCATGGATATGTTTGGAATGATGAACGACATGATTGGAAATATGGTAAGAATCCTCCATAAAACGGTTCGTATTAAGAGCAGCGCTGAGGGTGGTCTTGCCATCCTCTTTATTGTCTCTCGTCTTTTGCTTCTTTGGTGTTGGCTGTGCTCAAGCTGCCAAAGAGGCAAGCTTCAAGCTGCAACCCTGCTTGCTCTCCAGGCTGGAGCAGGGATAGGTTGTTCCTGGGGCGTGCTGGCCGAGTGCAGGGAGGGAGGGGAGGATAGAGATGCAGGGCAAGAGTTGTTCAGCCACAGTGAATCTAGCAGGAAGAGGTATTCTTCAGAAAGATGGAGCCGTGGAGAGTATACTCCTCCTATATGTAATTTCCGTAATACTTCGTTTTACAGAGAGAGAGAGAGAAGCAACTGGCATCCCTTCTTCCCCCTACACTTTTCCCATTTCTTCTTTCAGGAGCACATGACAAGTGGAGGCAACTGCCAGACATTTACTTCCTCGACTGTCATCTCCTATTCCAACCTGGGTGATGGGCCAAAAGTCTATCAGGAGACCTCCGAGATGCGTTCGGCACCTGGCGGGGTGAGGAGGAGGCCAGAGCACGTCTGGCGAGCATGAGGCAGCCACCTTTGCTGTGGGCAGGCAGGCTTGGTTTGGTGGCATTGGCCGCCCACAGCATCGCTGCTTTGCAGCCCTTGCGAGGGACGCGCTGTGACTCACTGAACTCTGCTCAGGGCCATTGGGAGGGGAGAGGAAGTAGTGGCAGGGGGAATCTGCTTTTCCCTTATTATTACGTTTCTTCTGACACGTTGGGAGTGGCAGCGGCGGTGTGTGACTGAAGTAGTGCCGGAAAGAGTTGGAGTGCCTCATGGGCCTGGGAGGAGGAACAAAAATGTTATTCTGTATGGGAATCTTTTCACAGATCCGTGAGACCAGGCGGACTGTAAGAGATTCGGACAGTGGCCTGGAGCAAATGTCTATTGGGCACCACATCAGGGAGCGGGCCCACATCATGCAGCGATCCCGGAACCATCGTACGGGTGACCAGGAGGAGAGGCAGGACTACATCAACATGGATGAAAGTGAGCGCCATCCATGTCCTCCTCATCAGCAAATTTCAGATGCCGCTGTCACACCTCCTCCCCTGCTGAGCTTTTATGTTTTTCTTTCCTCATGCAGGCGATGCAGCTGCGTTTGATGACGAATGGAGGCGAGAGACGTCCCGTTTCCGGCCGCAGCGGGGGCTGGAATATCGGCGTCACGAAGGTGGCAGCGGCCGCCGGGCTGAGGGTGCTCGTCTTGCAATCCAGGGCCCAGAGGATTCTCCTTCCAGACAGTCCCGTCGCTATGACTGGTGAACTCAGAGCAGACTTTGTGGGGGGTGCTATGTTGTCACCCCCAAATCTATCTGCACACTCTTGTAAGTCTTAACAACGTTTTCCCATCTTCCACTGTATGGTTGCCTCTTAGCCAGATGAGTTTTCTCTTTGTTGTCCCAATCTCATACGGTTCTGCAGTTTTGGCTGGAAATGGACGTTCCCACAAAAATTTGGACAGCAGAGAAAGATGGGGGTTTTGAATGGGGAAGGTGGAAGCTCTTTAAGAGAGTTTTGTTTTCAAGGGAAAAAATGTGTGGTGTCAGCCTTAACTGACAGCTGAAATGGTGTGGGAATCATGTTCTGTGGAGACGAGCTCATGTCACTGTATGGAACCAGGAGCCCATCTGTAGTCAATCCATCCGCTTTTAAAGGTGGAATCCAGGTGGGATTAGGCAAGGCAGATACTTGCTGGTGTTGCTCTCCCGTGTTTTGATTTGGGTTCACTAGGCTGTGGTCTAGTGCTTGGAACTGGGGATTTGTTTCCACTCCTTAAACTTGTCTTTATCTGTCTTCTGTGCTGCTTTCTAATCACCACTTACTCTTTTTATACTCTCCCTTTGTTTCCCTTACTCCCAGGTACAGTGAAACTCTGAAGCCCCTTCAAAGCACCACTTGGACCCTCCTCAGATTTAATACTAACGTCCCCCTCCACCCTTAAGAATTGAATCAAAGCAACTAATCTTCTGCATTGTTCCGCTTGACCCCTTGGGTGCTGTAGCGGGGCAGGAAGGATCTCAGTGGCGTGCAAGGAACACAATCGTTGCCTGTCCCCTTTTTGCTCTCCCTTGGTTCTGTTCTTTCTGCCATTAGTGGTGGGCATGAGAAGCTGCTGCATTTCCTCTTCCATACTTTCCATTTTTTCTGTGCTGGGTGAGGCTGGTTCTGAAGTTTTTATTTAGTCCCCTGTGAAGAAAAAGAGGAAATTCTGCTAGAACCCTGTTAGTCCCCTCACTGGGGCAAAGGCTTCTATTGCCCTCCTGCTCCTTGATGCAGCTATGGAGAAACGGAAGGATGTGTGTGATAGGGAAGGGAGGAACAGAATAAAAGCTGAACCAACCTTTCGTCTCCCTGGCCCCTATTCGGTGAGCTACCCCACTTTTTTTTAATTTGTGAAACTTGTAACTAGATGTTTACTGAATAAAGAAACAAACTGTAAAGAGTCGTTGGATCAGTTCTTGCCTTCTGCTAATGGAACTATGCCTACTGTGAAACTAAGTAACCTCTTCCGTGTCCTTGGGAAGTGAGAAGGAAATTTAGTGTCTAATTTTAAGTTTTTTGTTTTTTGTTTTTTTCCTCTCTAAATCCTTCCCCTGTAGTTACAAAACAAAGAAATAGTGCTCAGTGATAGCACAGAAATTGTAAAAGAAAACCCAGGAACCCACCACTTGCAAAAATACCCTTTAATTGGTGTCATTTGACAATGCCCTCCGAGGGGATTTGTTGGTGTTCTTTGCTTCCCGGTCATCCTGTGCAGCCCTGAGTGGGCCTCTGGGGTCTGTACAATTTCTGCACAATCTGGGGAGTATCTCCACTCTTTTCCTATTATTTCTCTGCAACTGACGCTGATGTTGTTTGAGGCTGTTATTAATGGTCCTTTCTTCAGTATTAGGTGAAACTTTAAAAGCATTATTTAGAAAGGCAGTTATTAGGAAAACAGGGCTAAGAAAAGATCTCCTGGGTTCATGAGGCAGTACCCTGCTCCAGCAAACACTGTTCTGTAAACCTTTTAATGAAACTATTTGGAACAAAACAAAGGAAATGATGCATGACTTGGATCTACCATTTGCACATGCTGAGCCAGAATATTACTATGTATTCCCATGCTCTACATCTGAGCTCTAATAGAGGGATAGAAGCAATTCTCCTGCCTTGAAAACGGGATATAGAATCTGGCCCTTGAAAATTTGGAGTTCTCGCGTGCTGCCGCCTTCAGGGGAGCGCGGAGCAGAGGGCAGGTTCTGTCCCCACTCCCACACTCTGATCTGTCCGCTAGAAAGCCCCAATAAGGTTATAGTCCCATTCTTTAGGTGACAGCTCACCAGGGCCTCCACAGTGGGGTTGCAGTTGGAGAGGTCTCCAGCATCTGGGAATGCGAAGGCAGGAAACTTGGTTGAGACAGGGAGGCAAGTGTTGGAGGGGGATAAGTCAGCTGCCCCCTGGCAGTGAATTGAGTGTCTGGAGATGCCATAACCAAGGCAGGCCCTGAGGAAAGGGTGGCCGAAGGAGAAGCTACATGAAGAAAAGTGGGGCCTTGGGAAGGTTTAGCAGAGGGCAAGTCACTTCGGGGTTGCCAGACTTTGGGAGAAGGAGCTGGAGCAGCAGCAGTCTTCGTCTCCACAGTAGTGTCAAGCTGACGCAAGATGAGGGATCTGGTGTTTTGATCCACTGAGGAGCCAACCGAGCTTAGAAAGGTGCTCGCAGCATCAAGACAGTGGTGGTAACCAGCAGCAGTCCTGGCTGTTCCTCGAAGCGATGTCTGAGAACGAGAACAGGGATGTGGACACAGTGGGGCAAAAGTTGATTTTGAACTTTAAGATGCAAGGATCCAGTTATCTTTGACATAGAGCAAAGCCAGAAGTATGGCAGCAATGATGTTAGTGTTGTGACTTGTTCAAGCTGCAACTGCCCACAAACTGGAACGGCCTGTGAGTAATCATGCCTTTCTCAGAGATACACAGTTTTATCTGGATTCAGCCCCTCGGCCTGTTCAGGTGCCACTCCAATTACAGATTTTGAACCACTGCATGCTCTGTTCCTCCAGGAGAGGTTATGAAAAGTGATTTACCTGGCTTCTTGAGCCTTGCTAACTGCTGTACAGTCATTTCCAAGATCTCAGCCTTCTCCAGGCGTGACAAGGCTCTGGTATTCTGGCAAAATGGGGAAAAAAAGCACTTAGTAAAATATGCTTTTAACATATTAAGGCTGGAAAGCAAAAGCAGGAGTCCAGGAGAGAGGATTTTGAATAATAAAGTAAGTATAAGGAGTGTATTGGAGGGTTTTCTGTTTCGTCAGTCTGCGAATCATGGCAGTACGTGATTCTCTGACTTCAGGGAGTAGCAGGTTGTTTTTGAAGGAAAAGGGATAATAAAACTCCCTTTGACTTCTCCAATCACCGAAGGCAGATCTTTACCTGCTGCTCTGGGGTCTGCTGAAGAAGCCGCCTCAGCTGCTTCAGGCTGGCATTGATCCGGGCACGGCAACGCTTCTCAATCAGTGGTTTGAGGGACTGTGAAGAAGAGGGAAGAATGTGAAGGTGAGGAGAAAGGTGACAGATCACTATCTCAGTGGAAATAAGATTTACCGTCATTGTTGCCTTTTGCTGAGCCAGTGCTGCTTGTGCTTGGGGCTTTTGCTTCAGCCAATATCCAGGGCTAACTGATAGACTAACAGATCACTGAAGTAGGTTGTTAAAATTCGAAAAAAGAGCATGCAGAGCATTGTAGAGTGACAACAAGGAGCTGTACCTGAGCAGCCATTCAGGTGTTCCTGTCTATAGACAATCTGTGAGAAACAATACATTGTTTCAAGTAACAGGTGTACTCCGGGTGCACAGAAGGTGCACTGTACTGTTTTACTTGCATTGCCTGAAAACAATAATGCCCACACAAGTAGAAAACTGCTTTTAATTAAATCATCCTAATTTTCACATTTAGATCACCCCTAAGTTTGGTTTCCCCCCGATGTTCACATTCATTACAGTTTCAAGTAGGAATGGTCCCCCTTGAAAATATTCCACGTTGTGTCAGGACAAGCTGCAGGGCTGGGGTTAATCTCATTCTACGTTTCTGAGGCTTCTCTGATAACTCCTGCAGCAGAATGGAGAAAGGTGAGACGATATTTCCAATGTGAAAGCCAAACAAATAACATGTGTGTGAGATCATAGAATCAGAGAATGCTTAAGGTTGGAAGGGACCTCTAGAGCTCATCTAGTCCAACCCCCCTGCACACGCAGGGTCACCTAGAGCACATGGCAGAGGGTGGCATCCAAGCGGGTTTTGAAGATCTCCAGAGAAGGAGCCCCCACAACCTCTCTGGGCAGCCTGTTCCAGTGCTCTGTCACCCTCACTGTTAAGAAATTTTTCCTTAAGTTCCTATGGAATTTTTGATGTTTCAGTTTCCGGCCATTTCCTCTAGTCCGATCAGTGGCCACCACTGAAAAGAGACCAGCACCGTCCTCTGCACTCCCTCCCTTGAGGTACTTATAGACACTGATTAGATCCCCTCTCAGCCTTCTCTTCCCTAGGCTGAACAGGCCCAGCTCCCTCAGCCGCTCCTCATACGGCAGATGTTCCAGGCCCCTGATCATCCCTGTAGCCCTGTGCTGGACTCTTTGAGCAGCTCCACATCCCTCTTGTACTGTGGAGCCCAGAACTGGACACAGTACTCCAGATGCGGCCTCACCAGGGCTGAGTAGAGGGGCAGGATCACCTCCCTCGACCTGCTAGAGATGCTCTTCTTAATGCAGCCCAGGATCCCATTGGCCTTCTTGGCCACGAGGGCACACTGCTGCCTCATGGTCAACTTATCATCCACCATGACACCCAGGTCTTTCTCCGCAGAGCTGCTCTCCACAAGGTCGGTCCCCAGCCTGTACTGGTGTCTGGGGTTATTCCTCCCCAGGTGCAGGACCTTGCACTTGGCCTTGTTGAATTGCATGAGGTTTTTCACTGCCCAGTTGTCCAGTCTGTCCAGATCCTTCTGGATGGCAGAGCAGCCCTCTGGGTTATCAGCTATTCCTCCCAGTTTTGTATCATCAGCAAACTTGCTGAGGGAGCCCTCTGTGCCTTCATTCAGGTCATTGATGAATAAACTGAACAGCATGCAAATGGCATGCTTCCAAGCCATCCTTATCCACCTGAAGCAACTTTTACTCCTTTTTCCCAAAGTTGTCAACTTCACATGGGATTTGTTGACGCATCAGAGCAATGCAGGGCAGTGGTATTTATGGGTCTTGCCAAAGAAATAAGTCTAAGTAGGGCACCTGGAGTGAGAAAAGTGGGACAGCCATACAAAAATAAAAAAAAACAGAGAAAGAAGATTAGGTGAACAGAATGAAGCGTAATGGCGGGAAACAGGAAACACTGGCAGAAAGATGGATGAGATGGACAACAACCCACATTAGCTGCAGACAAATCGAATATAGTCTTAATCACTAATATACAGCAAACAAAAAAGCCAATGTTTCCCATATCTGAAAGTTTATCATCAAAGTAAGAGCTGTTTTAGCTATTATGAACTTTGTCCTTAAATGTTTTTATATTAAAGCTCTACACTTTTCCTGATAAAAGCATTGCAGAATGCTGGGATGTTGGGTTCAACCTGGGAAATGGGACAAGCGTGTGAAAGCTAACCTCATGCCAATACTTACAAGGGTTTGAGGGTTTTTTTTGTGTGTGTTTTTTAAAGACAATTACGGTGTTCCCACTCTCATCTTCTCAAAATTGTTCTTGTCCATTGACTGTAAATTTTCTAATGAGATCATGGCTTGGGTTAACTAAAGCAATACAGAAGCTTGAAGTTACGCTAGCACAAGGTGTCTAACTTAATCACACAAGGCTATTCTTTTTTTTTTTTTTAAATGCATATATTAAAACAACAAGGGACCCTATATTACAAATTCTAGTTTACTGATAGTTTTCAAGCAATGAAGGGAAAAAAAAAGACTTCCCAACATAGAGAAGTATTATTGGCCGAATACTGTTCTGAAACTAATGCTTATTGTTATGTTGATTAATGGTCTGAAAGAAGGTAAGTGCTGATGAAGCTTTCAGAGGACACAAGGAAAGATGGAGGTGATAAATGACAGAAAAAGATGAACAGTGCAGAGCTGTCTGTATCCGTTGATATGGTGTTTATTTATAAAGAATAAGTATTTTTGGCTGTACTGAAAGCAAAAGGACACTCATCTGGGAACATAAGTGTAATCTGTGCTCTTTCAAGATGGAGGACTGTTTTCTGGAAGCTTTGGAGGGACTGCAAAAAGAATTCAGCAATTGCGAGATAACCAAATTAACCAAGTGGGGGGATGTGGAGATGGGTTGTGTTTGGGTGCATTAGCCTGTGGTCGTCGAGTTGGGAGATGAATTGTCTTCTGTATAACATAGTAGTGAAACCAGTGCATAAACACTTGTAAATTCAGCTACACTCCAGTAAAAAAAAAAAAAAGACACCAGATATTACAAGGATTCAAGAAGGGAGCAACAAGGGTGACCTGAAGCCTGGAAACACTGGCTGGCACCATAAGCTGCCATGAGCTCAGGCAGTCTAACTCAAGCATGGGCTGGCGTTGCCGACACTGGGATGAAGTTTCTGACAGTAGAGGGCTCTTTAACCTGGATGAAAATCTAAAGCTAATGATGCAAAGGGAAATAAAGTGCAGACTTTCAGTAGAGAGATCATTAGACCAGCATACCTGATTTTTTTTCATTATTTGCTATTCCTAGTCTTAGATGGGATGTCTCAAGCAGAATGTAGAGAGCTGACATACACTTGAGTGAGCTAGCTCTTTGCCACTTGGGAGCCAAACTATGTGATCATGCTGATCCCTTCGGCCATTAGAAATTTGGGAATCAGAGAGAGAGCAGTGCTAGGCTGCCAGGAAGAGTGGGAAGGAGAGCAAAAGAACAGGTGACTTGGCAAATATTTCAAAGAGGACGAGAGGAAAGTCCAAGTTACAGGAAACAGCTGTCTGTAGGCCCAACGTTCTGGTTGAGAAAGAAATGCACATCTGAGCGAGGAAAGAGTATAAAATCCCCAAAGCAAAATAATTCAGACTAGATCTCAAAATAGAGTCCAGCTTAAAATCAGTTGCAAGATTCTGCAACTATTTTTACATTTCCAAAACTTTCTTAAAAATGTCGTGATTGTATTTTTCAATCTGACTTAAATGTAACTAAGTCTTTTTTTTTTTTCTTCCCGTGAGTGCTTCTTTTAGAGACAACATTTCAGAAAAATGTCCCTGTGGGAAAACTCCACTTAGGTTATTGTTAATTCCACTATCTCCTTACATCTGGCAGCTTGAGCTGACTGAGTTTGTAAATCCTGAGGATGCTTGATAGAAGATTTGGGGGCCAGATGGGATGAGGAATGGAATAAACACCACTTATCTCCAACTGCTAGTGTCATAGTGATCAGAGGTAAGCTGAAAGCAGAGATACTGGCCTCATAATATCCACCGCTTACTAACAGGGAGAAGAGCATTGATTATAAGCAGCAGAGAAGAAAAAAAGACTCAGAGTGACCAGCCAGTCCTATGATGACTGTAAACATATAGGAAAAGACAAACGCAATTAGGAAAGTGTTTCTAGTAGCTATAGGTTGCTGTATATGTTGCTGTGCAAGATACTGAGAAGACCTCACCTGTAAATGAGAACTATGTTCATTTGTAGCCAAGAAAGCTGCGTTTGAAGGGCAAGGGATTTTAGGATGGCTTGGGGCACAAGAGAGCTCATCATGTAAGAGGAAACTGGTTTGCTTAGCCAAGCAAAACAAAGTCTATACACAGGGGAGATTAATAGCAAGGAGGAAGAAGAGCAATTTAAACTAAAGCCTCATTGGTACAGGAACAAGTGAATATAAACTATCTGTGAATGCATTTAAGATGAATATTAGAAAACTTCTGTAACTACTATGGTCATCCAGTTCTGAGGCAGTCTTTCAAGAGCATTACTGGGGACAATAAAATTAACCAGTTTTAGATCAGCAGTCGAGAATTTTATACAAGGGATTATGACAATGCCTGCGACTGGAAGACATCCTCTTCTGTCACCAGGAGGCCCCATCTTGTTTCTGTTCCTACCAAGCAGAGCATCTTTCTTTCCCCAGTGCTCTGAAGCCTTTGCTACAAAGGGAGCTGCAGGGAATCCTGCTGGAAGCAGAGCAAGGTGAGCGCTGCCCAGAAATGTTTTCTCTTGATCTGAACTGGATGGAGCTTCATTTGTGCTTTCATTTGTCCCAAGAAGGATTGGAGTTGTTTTTAAACACACAAATGCAGTGACAACTCCAGACACTCTTGCTATCCATATAAGGTACACAACCCTTGCTCCAGCTGACATTTCAGTATCTATTGAATGAAACACAATGTGAATATAATTGCATGTTACACACAGAATTTTGTTGCAAATGAACTCCTTTCCCCTGGCAGTGGGAGATTCTGCCACCAGCTGCTCCCAGCAGAAATGGCAGGTGAAAATCTAGCACAGTCCAAGATTGCTCTGGCAGGGAAGCCCCTGTAAAACTGGAACAGCTGTGGAGAGTAACACCTGAGCAGTGGGTGGCTGAAGAACCTGTAAAGAACTTGAATGGTTTTGCCAAGCACTACAGACAGCTAGGCAAAGACTAGTACTAGGAAAAGGCATGAGGAAAGGAGATCCCTGCAGGTTCTAGCACTGCAGTGGCCCAGTGAAAGGTTAGCAGAGAAAGAAGAGTGCTAGAGTAGGACAAGTCACTATTCCAGTGCATAAAAAAAAAAAAGAGAGAGATAAGAAGGATGTCTGAGATCTGCAAGCTGCAGTTGCCATGTAGCATGTGGGATTCTGCTGACCCTCCCCTACTTGCACTGTGCCCTGCTCTTGCAAAGCCAGGGCTCAGTCCCACAGGGCTTAATTCCAGCTGGGAAGAGGATGCCAAAAGCCTGGGTGGCTGCCGCTGCTGACTGGGAGAGTTTGAGAGAGGGTACAGCTCCACAGAAAGCAGACTGAGACACCAGTTCACCTACATGTCTTGTGGACCAGACCCTCTGGTACCCAATATTGGCAAAAGTCTTTGTGTGTCAGACAAACTAATGCACAGAAAGAACAGACAGAGTCACAGACACAGTCCCTGTAGTCACAAGCCTCTGTAGTGTGTGTTGATCCCACACTACACCATTTCTGGCTGGCACTGGAACCAGTACATGGATGTAACTCGCACAGCAGATTTCCTACCACCAGTATGTACTGCAGTTCTTATAAATCCCATGGAAAGCTGCCAGACTAATTTCTGTCGGGAAGGTGGTAGCCCCCACTTACAGAAGACCTCTCTAACAGGAGAAGTAAGACTTGTCCTCTTAACGCAAGCAGTGTCAGTCTCCACCTTTAACCTTGCTTTGGGTTGCACTCCTTTAACTCAGAACTGACACAGAGCATAACCCCAGTCCACCAGCAGGTAATCTTGGCTGCTTTCC